AAATGTTGGTAAGGATGTGTAAGTTAGAATAATAAACCAATCCTTAGATGTTCCTGATCAGAATGCACATCACTGTGCCCACTATAATAACCCATATGAAGGCTCTTCAATAAACTGAAGTTGGAGCTGTCATGTGATCCAGCTACACAACACCTTGGTACATTCCCCAAGGAATTACAATGGCACCCAATACAAATACCCACATACCAGTGTTTTTGACATACTGCTTACAATAGTCATGTAATGAAATCAGCCAATATATCACCATGAAAAGAAAATGGTGGAATAAAGGAAATAACACACAGACACATACACACACACATGCATGCATACAGTGGTATGTTATAATGACAGGTTTCACAAGATTTCTCTTCCATAACAAGTTAGGTTAAAAACAAATGACATGACAATGAACAGGGCTGGAAGGATGGAGGAGAGCATCAAAAAGTTGGTAGTCATTGGAAACATGTAATGGGAAATGAGTGTGATGGGAACATAAAGTGTATACTATACAAACATAAAAATGTCATACTGAAACCCATTGTTTTATACACTTTGTAGGCTTGCATACAAAATCCAGCACAACAGAAAATAGAAAAGTTCAATATTCTAGAATTTACTAAGATTAAATATACCAGAATTATTGCCAGCAGGTGCAATTTGACAAAGAATGTCTAAGGGGTGAACTCTGACATACTTAAAAGTTATTGAATCAAACTTTAGAGAAGAAAAAGGATATAATTATTGCCACTTCAGTTTTTAAGTTATCATATCTTAAAAATCTCAGAAAAACTTTAGAAAACAAAGAGACTAGAGATAACTATCCATAATTGGTACAAATTTTAAAATACTTAGCAATTTTAAACTGTATTTAGAAAAACATAAGACATATTATATATGAATGCCTAATATGATTTGAAAGTTTAACATTTGAAAATGAATCAATAGTAAATATAGAAAAGAAAATGAACAATTTTAAAAACATTAAAACAATTTAGATGATATGATAACTTGATTAAATCTAATAGAAAAATGCAAGTAGGAAGGCACTCCCTCAGTGTGGTAATAATAATTTTCAAATAAATACATTTAACATTGCAGTCTCTTTAAGAAAGGGAAAACTTCCCCCTGAAGATCTGCAATTACCTCTATTCCATAATGTTTTGGAGTTATTACTTTTTATTAAAAAATTAAATTAAAATAATTAATGAAAGGGAAAATGAAAGATAACTTAGGGAAAGGGAGATAAAGTGAAGGTAGATGTCTGTACATGCAGATTATATTGTATTTAACAAGGATCTTAAGGATAATCTAAGTCAGTCATTAACAATGCTATATTATGTTATTACACTATTTCTGGATACAAAGTCAATAAGGACAAATAATTCATTGTTCTTTAGTCACAACTAATGGAATTCAAATGGTATCAGAAACCAAATAAAAACAATAATTTTAGCTGCAGTACTGTAAACTTGTATTATGAATCAGTAAAAGAGAAAATCAAGACGATGAAAGAAGAGTAATAAAGTGTAAAATGAGGAGCCAATAGGGAAGAGAACTCCTGGACTGTCTTCCATCTACTCTGCATGTCCATCATTGTTGCACTTGTTCAGCTCATGTTTAGGCATGCCCGTGACACTTATGGGTGCAGCTTCTGACATCCTTAGGAGACACAGTCTAACAGCAAATGCCTCCCTTTTCTGTGACTCTTGAGGTCTTTCTGCCCCCTCTTCCACAATGTTGCTGAGCCTTAGGTGTGGGCCTTGTATTGCAGATGCACTCATTGGAACTGGGCTCTAAAACTATTTGATTTGGGGTGTGTGTGTGTGTGTGTGTGTGTGTGTGTGTGTGTGTGTGTGACCTTTCGTATGTTCTTAATAATTTACAAATAAATTAATATATCAGAAAGATTTTTCTGTGACCACTTGATTAATTTAGAAAGGTCTAAATGAAGGAGAATACCGCTAGGTTATCTGAATAACTTAAGTGACAACAAAGTTAGTCAGCATTTCACTTTATTTCCAACATAAATATACAAATAATGACAAAAATAAAGAGGAAATTTAAAATAAGTCCAAGTTACTCAGCACTTAAATTTTTGCCCATGCAATGGCAATGGCAAAAGCATGCTTTTAAATTTGTGTGTTTGTTCTATGAAATAAATACAAAAAATGCATATAGACATATAAGAAACAAAAGTAACAAGAGACAGGAGAAATAAAATACCTAGTAAAAATATACCAAAAGAATGAATATGTAAATAAGAATATGTATTAATATACTGAATTCAATAACTCTGGCGTAGACTTCAGGCCCCATTAATGCAATTTCTGAGTTCAGCAATTTGGTCTATAATAAAAGACATCTCATTAAAGTATATGCAGCAGATTTACTTAATTCTTAATCTAGAATAAAATACATTAAGTAATACTCAGGGGTCTATCAAGTAAAAAAATCCCCAAACCATGACTTGATTAATCTCTTTAGAATATTTCTATATCTAATCCATGTTGATTTTAACAGAAAGAAAATCAATATAATCCTCATCCTTGTGCTTTTCTCAAAAAACTTCAAAGAAGCAAATGAGTTACAAATCCATCATGAATATTATGAAACAGATTTCTGCTAGTAATGCTAGGGTTGCTTAGTCTCATTTCCAATACATACCAGGGAAATATCCAATTTCTTTTTCTTTTTTACTTATAAAAACGTCATGAAAGCTACATATATACTAGGTTCATAAATCTGCCTTCAACTTTTAATTGTTTAAGCCATTCTTATTATGTAAACACAAGCTTTAACTAGGTAGTTAGTCTTCGACACATTTTCTGGTACAACGATACAAGATTTAATGGAACAAAACATTAGTGTACTATGTGGGACTTCTTTTATCCTGGTACAGAAACTAAAAACCCAACACAACAGAATTATTACTACAGACAATGAGATATGGAAGATGGAATATATATGTCATACTCAGACTCTGAAGATCCAGTGGAGGTCTAGTGATCACTATGACTAGCTTTTACGTTGACATTTTCATTAAAAACAGCCATATGCATATCCAGGAGTCTATAGTTAAAGTAGGAAAAATATAGTCTCTGCAGTGTATGTGGACTCACCATAAATTATTTTCAAACTGACTGAGAGCCATCAGGAATAAAATGGGTAAGGTGAAAGGATGTGATACAATAAAACTGTACCAAAAGCAAACCCTGCGGAAATGGTAATTTTCCTGAGTAAAAGAGAAAAATAAAAACAGGCATATTAATATACACATTAACTTAAGGTTGATTTATATTGTCTAGATTACAGTTACACAGACATGAACATTACATGTACAAAGAATAATTGGTAAAATTCAATGTAGTGTTATCAGAATATGAAACCATCTTGGAAAAAGAATGTACTAATGGGGAAAGAGAGACACAAACAAACTGCAGTTTGATTTTTAATGAAAAATCAGATTTTGTAGATCTTGGAAGTTAGTAAAGGATGTTAGCCTTCTAGGGAAGCTATGAAAATGACAGCTATATATATGACCTTGATTTTGAAACATATAGGATATATCATATATCATTGTCTTTGAAACAATATTAAAAAGAAAAAGATCATAAAATCAAGCTGGAAAACTTAATTTTTTAAATGAGCATCTAAGTAAATAAGTATAAATGTACCTGTCTAATGATATATAATTTTCATCTGTAGTAATGATTATCTATATGTGAATTAACCAGTAACTTAAAAATGTATGTTAGAGTTCTAATATCATACCTGAAAACAAAATGAATGAAGTATCTCAGTGTGAGCTGAACAAGGAATACACCGATTACAGGCCAAAGTGGACAGGGGAAAGCCCACATGATGACCTCATCTCTACACAAAGAACTACAGAGAACTAATGAACACTGAGAACTGGATAAATTGTCTTCCCCAGGGATGAGAAAACCAATTGTTTATGCAATACCAAATAATCACCCCTGAAAACATACAAGTAACAGTATAAAGATGGAGCAGGTTATACTAAAGAATACAATATATATGCATAAACATACATACATGCATGCAGCATCCACTAATGAAAAGAGAAGCCAATGATTTAAAAATAACAGGGAGGGGTACTTGAAGTCTTGAAAGGAGGAAGGCAAAGGGATAAATACTGTAATTACAATCTCAAAAATAAAGAAAGAGAAAAAATATTCAGGATGCATTGATAGGAATATGGCAATTCAGAAAAATTATTACAATTCTATTTTGCCTTCATTTTTTTCAGATAAGACAATGAGTATCAGTAACAGCAGACAGGAATTCTATTTTCTCACTCTATATGATATACAGCTCAATGGCTCCCATCTTAAGCAGAAATCTGTTGATTAAATCTTTGTTACTGTCTGTTACAAAGATTAATTTCCTTCATGATGGGTGAGGATTACACTTATCTGTGTGTATGAGAACAAATATTTCCAATGTAGTTAGGCACTATTTTTGGCTTAGTGCATTGGTAGTTATAGGCTCTTCTCCTCTGACTTCAATACCAGGCATGATTTCTTTCTTTTTTAGACCAGTTAGAAAGATGTTAGTTCCTGTCATGCTGTGGGTTCCACTACTGAACCAGTACAGTTAATGTCCCATCCTGACTGTTATTGTGGTTTATAGATATCATAGCTTGGTAGAGCTGTTGGTTGATTCCCTCATTTCAAAGCTCATTTTTTTTCCATTTGATACCATGAAAACTAACTTTCAAGAAGAAGATTTTCAGGTTAACACTAGCTCAGGGGTCTCTGTGTCATGTGTCTAGAGTGTGTGGTGTCTTCTTTAATAGGGACTTGCCTTCCACCTCAACGGGGGACATCCAAGGGCAATAGAAACATCCAATAATGTTTGGGAAAGCTCTTAGACAAGCATGACCAAAACTCTAAAGAAGGCTGTCATGCCTGGTGGTGGGTTTTAGTCAGATGGAGTCTGGGTCTTGGAGAGAGCATTGACAGCCAGATGAGGCAATTTCATTTAATTACATATGTATGTTTGTATAAAGGTATGTGGGGTACAGGTAAATATTATGAATCCTCTTTGACTTTCCGATATCCTGACTGCTATTTACTCCCCTTCCGCCTTCTTCTGTATGAATTTTAGTTCCCTTCACAGTTGGTCACATTGCCCATTTCTCATATTCAGCTACAAAGCTCTGACTTGATGCTACTTTAGCATCCCATCTTGATGATTTACACACAGTGAGCCATGTAGACTTTACCATTCAGAATTCCAAGCGTCTCTCTCTCTAAGCTGATCATCAGCATCTCAACATGTGCAGTCGTTTTTCTTTCTCACTTGCTTTTTCACAATCCCCGTCACATGACTTCCATTAATTATTAATGTGGAGATGTGCTAGAGTAGACTTCCTCTACTCTTGATGTTTATTCTGTAAATATTTCTTTTGTACTAACCATTTTTTTTTTCTGAAAGGATACAATTCACATTCTTCTCAGAGGTCAGGCTGTGTACTCGAGCTTGTAGTTTTCTTGAGTACATTCTGAGAATCTAGCAGAGATTCATGATAACAATTAGATCTTAATATCTAATGATTGCTTGCTCTAACCTCTATCTTTACTCAAACATCTAGTTTTTTTTTTAAATGGTAATTCTTTTATTCTAGTTCCTACATGTTGGTTTCCTCCAATAATGCTAATTTCTTAATTTTCATTTCTTTTAAAGCTTACTTAATTATTTACAAACAAATATGGTATCTAGTAAAATCATTCCTGAGTCACAATCCATATTTGGATTACCTGAACTAACATATATTTTATTAATGTTAAAAGACACCAATCTCCATTTAATTTCTTTTTAAATCACTGGACATGGTCTCCTATTCCTTGTTCTCCCTCTTTGTTGTTGATCCAGCTGGGTTCTCCCGCTCCCCTAAGCTCTTTTTCCCTCAACCCTCGCCCTTCATTACCCCAACTCATGTCCAGGCTGTTCATGTAGATCTCATCCATTTCTCCATCACTGGGCGATCCCTGTGTCTTTCTTGGGGTCCTGTTTTCCAGGTAGCCTCCCTGGTGATGTGAGTAAATGAAGACCACATGAGAATAGGAAGAAGCAAAGTGCTAGAGAAGCCCACAGAAATCCACAAAGATACCCCCACAATAGACTGGTGGCAATGTTCGAGAGACAGCCCGAACTGACCTACTCTGGTGATGGGATGGCCAAACACCTTAATTGCCGTGCTAGAAACCCCAGCCAATGACTGAAGGATCTGGATGCAGAGATCCACGACTAGGACCCAGGTGGAGCTCTGGGAGTCCAATTAGTGAGAAAGAGGAGGGTTTATATGAGCGAGAATTGTTGAGACCAAGGTTGGATAAAGCACAGGGACAAATAACCAAACCAAACCAATGGAAGCACATGAACTATGAACCAAAGGCTGAGGGCCCCTCAAGTGGATCAGGCCCTCTGAATGGGTGAGACAGTTGATTGGCTTGATCTGTTTGGGAGGCATCCAGGCAGTGGGACCGGGTCCTGTGCTCATTGCATGAGTTGGCTGTTTGAAACCTGGGGCTTGGCTTGGCCTGGGAGGAGGGAACTGGACCTGCCTGGACTGAGTCTACCAGGTTGATCTCAGTCCTCTGGGGAGGCTTTGCCCTGGAGGAGGTGGGAATGGGAGGTGGGATGGGGGGAAAGGGAGGAGGCGGGAGGGGGGAGAACAAGGGAATCCGTGGCTGTTATGTAGAACTGAATTGTATTATAAAATAAAATAAAAATCATTGGACATACAATAACAAAAAAATAGATGAAATTTCAGATTTTAAGAATTTTAAATCAAACATTTAACAAACGCTCTCCATCAATCAGTTACATCAGATATGTGGAAGTTGTGATAAAAATTTAAATGCAAAGGTAGATAATAATTTCTTGTGAGGAACTACAATTTTAAATTGATTGGATTTAATACACCTTGTTCAGAAAGTTATACATGAGAAAAACTTTGAGGAAGTGATAAAAGTAGTCATAGTAATGACAAGTAGGTCATACCTACGAAGTTCAAAGAAATATCAAAATAGGATGAATGGGAAAAAGCAAGACAAAGCAGAAGACACATTTATAGAGGTATAAGAAATTAGATTATAAGTGATATTGGAAGACATTAAAAAGTAAAAACCATTCTAAATGAAATGGGTATTGTGATGATATTGAGGGAAAAATTAATATGGTTCACCTTAGTTGCTGACATATCAAACAGGCTTTAAAGGAAAAGGAAATATTAATGGAACTATTTAGAAGTATTATGAATTAACCTGGAAGAAGTTGCTAAGATGTTCGCCAACCTGATAGTATACACCAGAACTTCTTACGCAGCAGTAAAGATCATTAAATTCTCAATGTATTTAAGGAAGGCATCATTAGAGGTGAGATGTAATACAAGAGATGAGTCTAGACTTTTCTTTCCACATAACAGGAACAGAATAATTTTGAGAAGTATTCACTAAGCCTACAATCCTATGGGAAAATGCATATTTAAAATTATCTTGTATTATTATTTTTTAATTCTTTGGTTTAGGAGACTCTGTGATCATGGCTGGCTTCACACTCAGTGTGTAGTTCAGGCTGTCCTCCACAACTAGACAAATCTTAAGAATTCTCTCTGCATCTAAATATACTCAATGTGGTCCCCAGAGAGTAAAATCTATCTCCTAACATCTTATTAAAAGTGAAAAATCTCATTTCAGCCTCCTAACTTAGAATCTCTACCTCATACAATCTTCATTTTTTTTCCATTGCTAAAACTCGTGGACCACTATTCTAATATATTATGGCAGAGAACAAGGATGAGCATGAAAGTTGGCAAAAGCACTCCATTCTTTCTAAAACCTTCATAAATAGTTTGACATTTGAGGGTGTAAGATACATTCCATTGGAAGGAAAATTCCAGAAAATCACTGTTGCTTTTTCATGTAGGAAACGAAGACTACCATTTGACATACATATTTCATAAAGTTAAAATGGATGTTCAAGATTCCCATGAATTGTTTTATAGTACACTTCTGTTATTTCCTTGAACCTCTTTTATTTCCTTGACTCTTATAGAACATTTTCAAAACTTTTTGTTTGTCAATTTACCCAATTAACCATAACATTTTAGTCATTTGGCTGTGAATTACCAGGGACTGCCATTTTCCCTACAATGTTTTTAGAAATAATGACAAAGGTTTCTCTGGTTCCTACATGGCCAAAGCTGGTTCAGGGAGATAACAACAAGGAGAGTTGAGCTACATAAAGGAACACTGAATTCCCAAACATGATCACCTCCTGATTATTACAAATGTGCCCCTACGCTCAGGTTATCATGAGTTCATAATTTTACAATGATAACAAAAGTTGCTCTTGCATAAAGGCCTTTTAAAAATGTCCACATCAATATAGAGGAAATAATCTATGTTCATAAATATATAATGTATGCCATATGTCTAGGGTGATGCTGTTAGAGTCAGGTATAGTTTTTAAACATGCTAATAGTAGCCATTACTCTAAATTTAGCAATAAATAAGCATGAAAATTTTTAAATATGAATTTCAAAATAATCATTGTTGCAAAGGATTTTTCATGCCAAATTATGCTTCATCTAGCTTACACCTCTAATGATAATACCACTCATCAGCCACAGAACAGTTGGGCACATTACCTTCTCTCAGACTATATCAATTAATATTTCCAAATCTTTGTTTCAGGAATTATTTTGAAAAGGGCAGTGAAATGTCTGTATATATCAATACAAAGTCATTTCAAAGCATTTTTATAAATATTATTTCTACACCATTATAGTTCTCCAAAGACCCAGAAATTTTCTTCCTCACATCTTAAATGTGATCTGTTCAATATTTTTGTTCGATATTAAAATGTTCATTTGAATATTATGGAACTTGTCAAAAGGTATTTTTTTTCTTTGTTGGCTTCTAAAGAATTTTTTCTTTTCTTACCTCACTGTTCACCATTGTAGGGTTGTTGTTGTTGTTGTACTGTTTGTTTGTTTGAGACAGACTCTCATTTTGTATCTATGGATTGCCAGGAACAGGATATCTGGACCAAGCTGTACTCAAAACCACTGAGAATGCCTCCTCCTCATGAGCATGGAGATTAAAGGTATGTGCCACCTACCTCTTTCGATTACTCACTTTTGACATTATGTTTATCCCCTCTTCTATGTCACTATCAGAAATTCTTTTCAGAAGGTTTTTAGATCCTTAAAGACAATGATGGTGCCTTTCTTGGCTATTGTCAGGAATGTGAAAGTAATGATCTACAAGTGAATTTGGTTTTATATTTATGACCATGCTTTCTTTTTCATCCCTTTATTTGCTGCCTCACAATGTATTATGAAGCTGGGTTTATGGGCCTAATGCCTCAGCATTATGCCCAAGGTCAGTCTGCATGCTACATTATTGGAATTTTAACCAATGATGCTAGAACTTACAGTACCATTTTAGAACCAAGTTTGACGAGACAAGCCTCTAAATTCAATGAATCTCAATTCATTTTGCCAGGTTTTTTCTCACTCCATGTAGCAATTTTTAAAAAACATATATTAATTAACTTGTTTTTTTTCTTTAGAGCATATGTGTGTGTGTGTATAAATATATATAAATACACACACACACACACACACACACACACACACACACATACTTTGGAGACCCTGTGCCTGCTTAAAAATAATATGTTCAAACTACATGGGAAACTGAGTCCATCTATTGAATCTCAGTTCTAAAACTTTTTACCTCTGTGTTATATGTAGAATTTAATGCAATATTTTAAAAAAGATGCCACACAGAACTTTGACATTCAGAGCTGTAGGGGCCGAGATAAAGGCCTAGCTCTAATGTCAGTAAGATTCCAGTGTCAGGAGAATATAGTGGAGAGTGATAGAGAAGAATACTTAATTTTCTTTCTTTTTTTATGTATGGGCTCACACAGCCACATACACACACAAATGCACATGTAATGCATATATACACATAAACACATGAAAATGAATTTGTTTACAACGTCAACTGAACAGTTCTCCATTGCACGTTCTTTTCGGAAGGAATTGTCTCACAGCTGTAGATATGTCACAGGTTCACATTGACCTTCAGATAACTTTCCTTGACAGTATCAAACTTAATTATGCTTTATGGGACTCAATATGTTTAGACTCCGGGAAGTCCAGTGCAAGCTGTGGGCTCTAAGCTTCACACCCATCATTGCTAACTGACCTTTTCATTTCTGTCAACAGGAAAGTCTAGTCCAGTCTTACATTAAAAGAGAAAGAAAAATTAAACAGTGTTCGAAAGACAGCCCCATTACTTCTAATAGTTGAAACCCATTTAACAACAGGAATGGGTGACTTTTTTTTTTTCTGAGAAGCCACAAGCCACAAGCAATTAATGGTGTTGTCAATACGAGAATGAAAAGCATTTGGTTTACACATGTGGCAAGTCTGTCTTCATCTTTTAGTTCATCAAATTCAAGGAGTGAGCAAAAGGCGAAGATTGTAACTTTAGCTGCCAAGGAGAGTGTGAATCATTTCTCTCAAGATTTTAAATATCCCTTTTTAGCTTGAAGCTATAAAGCAACCGACCTGAATGAAAACAGATTTAGGATGTAACAAGAAGACAAAATTTAACCAGCATATGTTAAAAGTGCCTTGCTGAAACAGAACAAAAGTTTCATGAATAAATATTACTAAAAGAAAAAAAGAACCATGCAACACTGTTCACACTGTGTTGACAGGGTCTTATGCTGTTAAAGGCCATGATCATTCTGTTAGGATAAAGATGTATAAATTAGCAAAACAGTGAACTGCTTAAAGAAGATTTTTCTGAAGCTTAATGATTGGTGTACTTTTAGTAAAAACTGTCTTTCTAGCTTCAATCTATGGAATCTATGGTTGCACACACACACATACACATACAGAGAGAGAGAGAGAGAGAGAGAGAGAGAGAGAGAGAGAGAGAGAGAGAGAGAGAGATATCC